GTTTGTGAACCTGTGCAGGTGCGACTGAACAGGGCTTCATGGACACAAACAGCAGCAGCAGCTCAAGCCTCTCACGATGAAGGAGCTCTGCACAGTAAACTGTATGTAAAGGTGCTATGAAGCTGCTCTCTGTGTTCAGCATGAGACTGTAAGGCGTACAATATAATACCAAATAATTACATCATTAAATCAATCATTCAATAAATACACCGGCTAAATTTAGCCCGCATGAGGTTCTCCATGGCAACACAAAGGAACGCATACGTTTGTCTCCTCCTGGTTTGCCGGTTTCAGCTGCAAGAGACATTTTCAGTAAAACAATATGGGCTAACCTTTATGCTCGGCTTATTAGCTAACTGGGCCTTGGGGGTGGGAGATAATTTTAGCTTGTTACCAGCAAAATAGGTTACAACCTTCAGTGGCTCTGCTTCTGTTTGGGACAAAGTAGGACACAAGCGCTGCACTGCACAATAAGAATTCTGCTTTCAGGATCACAGAGACGCTGACTGTAAAACACACGTGACATGTGTTTGTGTAACATAACATAACACAAACCTGGCCTGCCACCTGCACCGTCACCGGCACCTCCAGAACTCCTGTGTCGCTATCAAAAAACTTCTTGGCATCTTTGGACAGGGACTGTCTGTGAGAGGGTGAAAAGGATGGAACAGCGTGAGAACACACCATCGTATGAGCTCTCTTATAACAACAGCCTCGTGTACAGGAGCAGAACAGAAACCAAACAAACGCTGCAGCGATGGTTTCAGCGACTGTTCTTTTGTTTTAGGAGACCGTCAGAAGCCACGAGCCACCGTCGAGCTTTTCAAAGGAAGATAAAGATTCAGACCCTGAAGACCCATTACTTTACTTTAACCCACGACTGTAGGATTGGCTCGCCGGGGAAAGCGAGAGAGGGAGATGTGGAGCGCGCCTCCACACTACTGTAGGTTGTAGCCATGGTGATGGGAGACGTAAGTATGATTCAAAGAGGACCAATAGTCATGCACAGGCTTATGTAAAACTCCAGTCCCTCAATATCCCCCGGTGTCAAGAGCTGCTCTTGTGATAACACACATGCACGCTGCATATATGTATAATTCATTATCACGTAAACAGCGGTCAGATGTCAAATGCAGTTTGTGCCTTATATCCACCCACCACTGCTCACTTCCTCCCTTCCTCTAACAACATCGCTGCCTCTACATTCCTTCTCCTTTCTTCTTCTCCTCTCCCATCAGCTGTCTTCTCTGTCTTTCCCTCTTTACTCCTTTAATGCTGGTTGAAGGCTGGAGAGCTAATGCTGTAAATGTCAGTGGTTTTAAGGCTCTCCAGATGTCAGCGTGTTTTTCTTTTCTTTTTTTTTTCAAAGCGCTACAACCGAGTCTCGCCTTCGACAAATCTGTCAGCTTCAGGTTTGAGGACAGGTCTGTGTTTTGTACTTCTAAGACCTCCCGGCTGCACGCGACTGCTGTAAACATGCTGTTTTACAGCGACACCCTTCAAAGCCAGAAAGGTCACTTCTTCAGCCGTCAAAATTAAACCTCTGCATTTACAAAGTAGTTTTTTTTCCCCTCCATAGCTTGACCAATGAGCGCAGAGGGTGTATTTAAGGAAGCACTCTTGTTCTGCCTGCTAATAGAATCGCTGCTGGAGAGTCACTCTTGAAATAGCTTGGCAGGGCAGAGTGGAAAAGCCTGGTGGGGCGTCGCCAGGCCCATATGCTCGGGAGAATTTTGTGGATGGATGGTGTTTCAGATTTGTCAGTGTCCCACACAGATTTACTTGTGTACTTTTCCTCTCTGTAGCCAGATTATCCACAGTCCGAAAGTAATTCTCCTCCACGGTCTTTAATGGTGCTTCTGGGATCAGTTGAGGACACAGTAAATAGCTGGAGCAGTTGTTCTAACTTTACAGCTGCATTGCATTCACCTGCAGCTACAGAAACAACTGAACATAAACTCCTTTATTCTTTTGACTCGTCTCTCTCTCTCCCCAAAAAACCCAGACAATCCAAGAAGTGGTAATCGTGATGACCATCTATAATCCACGGCTGAAAAAACTTAAAAGACGGATTTATCAGGAGACTTTAAGGGCTTATGATGTCAGGACTGTGCTCCCTTTTACCTGATGGGAGCACAAACAATATATTTATTATATATATTGCTTGTCAGTGTGGACTCTTGCTTGGATTGCACTTCACCATTAAAAAAAAAAGTGATTATGAAAAGGATTACAAAACGGATTAAGAGGCTTAAGGATTTTTCAATATGGGGAAAATGGATGGGCAGAAATTACAGTAAACGACCACGAGAGAGAAGAATCTTATAAATCACATTAACCAAACAGGTTATTTCGTTTGCTTTGTTTACTTGCAACCTATTGCAGCGTTAAAGTTTCCGGCGGTGACGTGAGTGGTGCGCTAGCAGTTAAAGTGCTGGCAGAGCTGTTCGGTGTAATCTGTAGTAAATCATCCTTGTAATCTCCCTTTTATGCCATGGGAGGACCCATTGCAGGCTCTCCAGAGATTACACCTAAAGCCTCATTCAAGCAATCCTGTTTTAATGATCCTGTCGTCAGGTTTACGCAGAAAAAATGAGGAAATAGTCGATTTGATTAAAATTCTCTACATGCAGAATCGACCACGACATGTGACTTCATGGTTTTGTTTATTGTTGTTTTTGTTTTTTTAAAAAAACTAAAATGTGTTGAAGTTCCATGGCTGAAGGAGGCAGGTCACATGGCTCGGTGATATAACTCACACCTGATACAGAGATACAGCAATTTGAAAGATCTCCTCAATAATTTAAATACATCTGTTTCAGCCATTTCAACTAAAACGGCTGAGATGTAATTGTAC